CGGAGTGTTTGAGCACCCGAACACCGTTCGTAATTTGGAGACCGTGTCCAATGTTCTTTGCCCATGCCCAGGAAGCGTGACAGCTCGTCCAAGATACCGGGGTCTCTTAAGATTTTCTGTTGGCAAGGAAAAAATGGACTATTCCAAACGCACTGCGCAGCAAACAGATATCTAGCCTTATCTAGTAGTATACACCCTCTTCCACTCATCTCGCCATTAATATTGTACTTTACATCCTTACACATCGGAGGTTTGGACATTTTACCTCTTGCAAAATTTCAATCAAAAGCAGATCTAGACCTAGCCTGGAACGCTCTGGAGTGCTCTAGATTGCATTTTGTGATTTCACTAGTGGCAAAATGTGGTAAAATGTCGAAATCCCCGCTGTGTTATGATAGCCTTTATTTATAGCCTACCTAGATGCCAGCCTTTTAGGATGTGTTAGATGGGGAAACGCGGATATTAATAAGTCCCTAATTTCCTGAAAACTCGGTAAGCTCCAGTGTTTCTACCGCCAGTGACGAGCCAACAGCAAGCTGTGTGAAGCCTATGGGCTAGCCCCTGGCTACAGCCAGTGGCTGTGTTCTGGCGATGGCTGAATACCTGAAATAGAAGGCGACTCCCATCCGTTTGCAGTCTCTGGAAATCGCCGTAGATCAGTCTTATCAATACAATATCAATGTAATATCAATGTGTGATATCACCTTCACAGCAACATCAAGTCATCAAGTCGTGTCCCACCCACTCCCAGCTTTGAGAATGAGCAACAAAAAGCCCAAAGACTGGTGGTGGGGATATTTTGATACCCACCCAGATTTTGAGAAGAAACTCCCTGTGGCCTATGCAAATGAGAAAGAGAGACAACCGAAAGTGATGTGTGGAGCATGCAAGATTAAAAAAACTGATTGACGAGCAGGAAAAGGATCGCGAGGAGCAGCGTCAAGGCCTGCGAAATGATGTGCGAACACATGATCAAATCATTGCATATTGTAAGCATCTCAATACTACTCTCTGAAGTTCCGTTGGTTATCTTTTTCAGTGTGGTCACGATTGGAGAGTCTCATCAAGGACCGAAATTGTCTGTGGATTCATGGAAGACCTGATACCATAGTCCCCCATCTCAATTCTTGTGATAATCAACCACCAGAAGTCCGTGCACAGGCACACACTGTGTGTATCGAAAAGGGGTGGATCAAAGTGCCAAGACTTGCTCATGAGGTTATTAGTTTGAATTCATCACAATTATCAGGCATCAGTCCCGGTGTAGAGACTCGCATTTCTGCAGGCACATATGGGCACATTTTGCACCTTTTCACAACTCATGACAATTGGCCTTCAATGCACGACTTGCACCATCAGCTATATTCGACTTCTATCATGTCCCTAGTCGTTTTACACACAACGCACAGCTTTCCCGCGAAATGCGCCATAGGCGCGGTACTTTCCCACACAACGCGCAGCATTCCCACATGTGCACCTTGCGCGCTTTCTCGCGCTTAAGCGCCCTGCATCGCCTATCATCCAGGAACGTCCCTCTATGTCCACCCACCTCATTGGTACATCAGATCCCTTGCCTCATGGTTTGTAACAAGCATTGCAGCGTTATTACATGCCATTACGTATTCATAGTGCTTATTGCTCCTATCCCTTCCGCTTCTGATGTGATTTCCATAGTATAAAGTTTGCTGACTTACTACTCCATCATTATTACTCCCCTTTGCTGTACTTCCCTCGCTATTGGGTTTGACTTTAAAGTAGTAGTCACCACTTGGGCGCACTTTGTGTTTCCAATGGTTATCGTTATCCGCCTATACTAGACCTTTATCTGCGCTCGTTATAACACTCGCTCTGCATTTGCACTCGCTTTGCACATCCGCTTCCTTATCTGTTTCCTTATCCGGTATTTTCCGCACAACGCGCGCCTTAGCGCTCACGTTCCCACGCTCGCGCTTACCTTAGTGCGCTCTCTTGCGCTTTGTGCTCACTTCGCTTTTCTTCTTGTGCTTTCGCGCATCCATCACACTCAAGGGTCTTTCTTTCATCTGGTTCTGTGTTCAGTAGCAGTCCCCTTTAGGGTCGAACGCTCTTGCATTCTGCGAGTATAGCAGCTAGGCAGAGCCAAGACTCACTTATACTGGTTGAGCATTTTTAGATATTTCATATCAGCCCAGCCAGGTTGAGATCGCCTCACCGGTCATGAATCACCCGCATATTTCCAACAATTGTCGCAGTCGCCCTCTCCACTTGAGATTATTTGATGTTCCAGCCATGGATTCAAGCAACCCATCCTCACAATCTCAGTCACCACTACTATTATTCCCCCCTACCTTGTCTTGTACTAGTAGTCCAGCATTTGGTGAAGGATCCTGGCCAGCCCAATCAAAACGGGTGCGGCAGATATCACAGTCTCGGAACCACATGATAGATACCCCAACTACTGCTGGAGGCACTCCTTCATGGCCGCACTGGATGCCAGCTTTTCAGGAACACTTAGAGACTCACATTGCCAACATCACTGCATTGTGCGGGTTCTCCCTCAATTGGATCGAAAATCAAGCAGTCCATAGTTTTATGAATGAGTTGTTTCCCTTTGCGAATCCAATCTCAAGTTATCAACTCTCCAATCGCATTATTCCACATGAAGTCGAAAGGTACCAGTGAGCTGCCAAAAACTGTTGTCATGGAAGCGATGTGACACTCCAGACAGATGGATGGACAGGTGTAAATTTTCGCTACCTGCTGGCATTCATGATCACAACAGCAAGTCGACAGGCAAGACTGTTTTCTGCTGTTTCAAGTTTACCTATAGTGATTCAAAAAAATCAGGTCCACACGGTTCGAGTAGTAGATGTCTCTGCTCAGCACAAAACTGCCCAACACCTCAAAAGTCTCATGATCAGTGTTATTGAAGAGGTTCGGGTCAGCTGGAAGGTAAATATTGTTGTGGTTACATCAGATGCATCGGGCGAGTCTCGGGCAGCTCGAAAACAGCTTGTCGAGGAGTTTCCATCATTAGTATCTGCAGGTTGCTATGCTCACCAGGTGATTATGTCCAGCATCTCATTTGTTACTCCACGTTGTTAATACTACTGTCACAAAGATCAATCTCATTGTTGGTGACTATTTCAAGTCATCTGGTGGCACAGTTTATCTGGCATACTCCAAGAAAGCATCTGACCTCATTTCTTGGCTTCGAAGCAAGACCCTTGTTCTAGTGACACTAAGAGATATCCAACTTGCCCTCAACTCAACTAACCCATCCCATCCTCACCGTGTCCTCACCGTAATCCATGTAGTTTTGACCCGATGGACCGCTCATTATCTTGCCTTCAGACGACTTCTTGATCTTAAATTAGCACTCAATATTCTCGTCAGGCAGGAGAAGGGTCTTGGACGAGTTTCAAACATAGTTACGGGTGACACTGCCTCACGAAAAAGGCAACAGAGATGCTGGGATTGTGTCATATACCATATTCCCAGGTACAGATCCGATCCAGATCCGATGGACATATCCGTCGTCCGGTCCACAGATCTGATCTGATTCTTATTTCATGTCCTGTTCATATAACTCTAACTATGTTCATCTCCTTTCGGCATTCCTGTACACCGGTATACCAGTTATCCTTTACTTCCATTATGCTTACTGATCCACTACACTTACTGATCCGCTTTAGCTTATACTTCATTCCCCGGTTATGATTCATTATCCATCCAACTTACCGATATGCTGTACACATACTTTGCTTATACTTCGTACATAGCCTCGCGCCTTTGCTTATTGATCATTCCGTTAGTTATCCGTAGTATGTATATAAACCCTTGTACATGTGCTGTAGTAGATCAGTTCGAATATCATCTTAGATTGCACTCATTCTGTCTGGACTCTAAGTCCCTCTGTTATCCGTCCGGACTCGAGTACAATACTCTTGTCAACTCCAAGACTTAGGATTGATTCCTATAGTCTGTATATCCACCTCTGTCTTCGGACAGTCCTCACCTGTTAGTTTCTAGTTTGGATCCGATCCGGATTAGCCGTTACTATATATGTTCGATATCCAGAAGCCCTAACAGATCTGTTACGAGACTTATCCATCTCCATAGACGCGATACTCTAACACTCTGAAATAAGGGGCAAGACTCGGGAAAGGGGCACAGCGCACAAGCTGAGGCCGAAGCCCTTCGGATCCAATACTACTTGAGTACGGTCTTAACAGATTGATTGAAGACGCAGTGATGTGGATGACCCTGGCTCAGTAGAAAATGATTTCTTTTTTATTGAGTATCAGCTGAATCAAAATTGTTATAGGATGGTTGGTCACCTGCAGCCCTTATCATTGGTGATCAACATTGCTCAGGCCGCACACTGTCATCTTGATGAAGTTTTGATCATTTTCGGCTTTCTAATATCAAGATATATTGTGCTACGAGGGAAGGCTTCATCGGTCAAAGAGAATTCAATGATCCAGGCTATCATTGATTCTCTCAAAAAGCACTGGAGCAAATGCAATAAAGATGTATTTCTAGTTGCAGTCGTGTTGAATCCCCTTTACAAGATCAAGCCCTTTGTTCGACTTGCAAATTTACCAATGCAGGACTCATGACACTATTTGTCAAGTTATTGGGTTGATTTTTCCCTAATACACCCACCAACGAGTTTTGAAAGGAGTTCTTGGAGTATCTAGAAGGACATGGGGACTACAGCGAAGAATTTATAAATTGGGTGGACTTAGTTCGAAGGGCGGCTGAGGTTGAGGCATGTTTAATCTGTCTATTACTATTTTCCTCATCACTCATAACACTACAAATTGTAGTGAAAACTGTCCCGACCCACTTAAGATGTATGATGGCATACATTTTCAAGATGTCGAGCCAACACCACTGCAGAAATTCGCTCAGCGAATTTTTTCAATCTGCACAAACTCAGCCTCTTGTGAATACTTTTCAGTCTTTTTGGCACAGTACTCACAAAACTTCATTTGTATCTCGGTCTTAAAGGTCTCATGGACTTGGCAGAATTGCGCTTGCATCTGCGAGACAAATATATGCAGATGGGGGACAATAAGGGCCGTCTGCGTCGCATAAGGAAAATCATCCCCGACCCTCTACCTCCACTGGCCACCGTGACTGTAACTCCTGCCGACTCTGTTCCTGATAATTTATCATCAGAGTCTGAGCAGCTGGATACTCAGGACGGAGACACCACTGATGATGACCACTCACTTGGGTACATCACATCCGTTCTTGCACAGCGCTCGTTAGAAGATGAGGACACCACAGATGTGGGGTCCATGTTCAATGATATCCCCCTTCAACAACTTTTCAACTTTGAAGATGAGAGCTGGGTAAAAATGACAGAAGCATTTGGAATGAGGTCAATTGATGATGAATTCGAGTTTTATGAGTTAGTTGACATGGATGTGGAAGGTGAAGATGACAAACAAACATTCAATGATATGATGAGTAGTACAATCTAGCTTTTATCTCTAGTCAATGATATTGTGTCCTTCCAGCTTAGTAAGTTTTGTTGCTCCTGGGAAAAGCCAACCACCACTGTACCACCAATGGCTAAGCCAAACCTGTTTTCCCGGCTAGACAGTGGCTGGCCACTGGTGGTAGAAACAATGGTAAGCTTGGTAAAGTTCAGTTAAATCAGTGTGAAAGAGAAATAGCGACTAGGCTGTTAGAAAACTAGCGCTACTTATCCAAATAGGCACGAGTGTAATATTCAACCCAAGAGGACTGCTACTGAAGCAACTCCCTACTAATAGCAAGGGAAGCAATAGCATGAAGGGCTTAAAACCTATAGTGACCTAAGACCAAGAACTAATGAGTAGCACTATAGCGATCAGCGACAAGTGAGTTCTGACAGAGAAACATGCGTATAAGTGAGAAGCGCTATGCAAGGTGTTTTATGCGATAGCGCTATGCGAACATCTGACAAGCGACAGCAAGAAGAAATCAAAGAGAGTGAGAGCAGAAATAACATAAGACAGTACAAGTGAAATGCCTGATAGCGACTAGGTTATAGTGCGACTACTGATAGTGATCCCAACATTGCAAAAGTCAAACTTATGAGGGATCCTTAGCAATGTGCACTTAAAGTAAGTTCAAGCAACATGCGATCAGAGAGATTGGCAAGAGCAGAATCAATTGCACCAAGACTGAGATATAGCGACTAAGGAGACTCTGACACACCAGCAAAGGTCCAGGGAAGGGAAGTAAAGTACTGTATGTGTGATGGGTCATTTTATCATACTGCATAAATGTTCAGGAGTGCGTAGGCGAGAATAGTAGCTGTTACAATCAAGTACACCCCTATTCATTTTCCTTTGTTTACTTTCTCTTTATGTTGTATTACGCCACGATCGCATCATGCCGTCGCTAGGTGATCTATTCTCATCTTATCTCTGACTCATTCTGATTCCGTCTTACCTGCCCTAAAGCAGCTATCGTTTACTATATAAACTCGTTCTGTACTATGTAGTTCTTTACTTTAATCTTACTAGGTTTTACCTGGAACTTCCTTCGCTTGAGACCTCCAATCTTAAGTTGTATTGAACTTGATTCAAGTCGAGGACACTCTCCTTGCCTTGTCTTAGAAATGGAACTTCAGTATACGCCGAAGCCTTGAACCGACCTTGGCCGATTACTCTTATCGAGTAGCCATACGTCAGAACCATCCTAGTTCGTAACAAAAGATTAAAGTCTTCAATGAACACATCGCCATCACGTGCTGTGACCCAGAAAGAATAAACCCTGGTCATCACGACAGATAGAACTCCAGGTCCCATTGAAGCTGAAACAAGCTGACGTCATTAACACCAATCTTTGGCGCTTTGAACCTAGGTGCTGTACCACCCATACCCCTTTGAACCCCCCGATGTCTTCCTCCAACCTGTTGAAATCAAGATCGGATCCCCGCCAGTCTTTGACGGGGATAGAGATAAATCTGAAGGATTCCTGATGTCATGCATGTCTTACCTCGATATCAACAAGAAGATCTATGTCAATGACAAACAGAAAATTATTTTTGTAACCTCCTTCATGAACGAAGGAAACGCGCGCTACTGGAAGGAAGATTTCCTCAGACAAGCGCAAGATCCCAACAACAAAACTACTGCAGGCCTCATCAAAGGATATGGTACATGGATTGAATTCCTTGCCGATTTCAAAAGCGCATTTAGACTGCTTGATCCTTCAGGAACCGCGTTAGCCAAGCTTCGCAATCTAAAACAAGGAACTGAGCTCCAAGATTATATCTCGGAATTCCTGATGCTCACATGAAGGGCAGGAATCCAAGGTGATGTCGCAAAAAAGCAATTCTTCTTAGACGGATTACACCCAGGACTGCTTGCTTGCCTCTATGGCACAGGCAACGTCTCTGATGACTTTGAAGTCGTCCTCACCACCTGCATCAATCTCGACAACTCGCGCCTTCACTTGAACGCCATCAGGGCGCGCCACCAACCCCAGAAGAAGAAGAACTTCAGATCTAACCGATACGTACCATCTAAAGATCCTAACGCCATGGTAATCGATCGACTCTCTGAAGAAGAACGCACTGAACATTTCCGGACCAGAAAATGTTTCACCTGTCACAAGACCGGACACCTTTTCAAGAACTGTCCTGAGAAGAAGAAAGGGAAACCCTGGTACACCGCAAAGAAGTAGAAAGCAGTGATGAAGAAGAAGCGGAAGCGGAAGTCCATCGTCTCAACGAGGACTTTTGATATGGGAGACTGGATCAACGTCAGTATCTCTCAATGTACCCATAAGACTTGTACGAAAAGTTGGTGAACAAAAAGAACTTCGGGTTCCCCTTTCCCTAATTTCGAAAACTTGTCTGAAAACCATTGAAACCACCGCAGTTGTCGATTCCGGAGCAGCCAGAACATTTATCTCAGAAGACTTTGTCAAGAAACACAAGATCTGAACCCACGCTCTCAGTAAACCCTTTAGGGTTACTACCGCCGATGGAAGCTACTCCAAAAGTGGAGCCATACACCGATACTGCGTCCTTACTATCAAGATTGACGAACAAACCATGATTGGAAAGTTCAACGTCACACGCCTCGGTAGAAGAGACCAGATTCTCCTTGGAATTCCCTGGTTACGAGCAATGAACCCGGTTATTGACTGGGCAGCCGAAACCCTCGTCCTTTCTCGAATGGAGAAGAGTAATCAAGTTGAAGAAGAAGTCGACAAAGAAAGGAAGAAGAATGACCTTCCACTTCTATTTCGACAAGAACCCATCGACCGGACCTGGAAGCAATCCAAACTTAGGAAAGCACCAGTTATCGAAACCCCCATCGTTTACCCGAAAGCGACCATTGAAGAAGTCATTGACGAAGAAGCACCATCCGTTCTTCCCACCATTGACTCACTCCCCGATCTACTCCCCATCCCTGATGAAGACGATGAAACCTTTGATACCAAGGAAGACGTCTGGACACAAGAGAACTTTGCCGCACCAGTGCAAGAAGTCTCTATGTATGATCTAGATGATGATGAATTCTTGGTAGAATATTCCCTCGATGCATCTGAACTCCGGGGTAATTTCGAATACTACCATGGATATACCATTAACCTCGGATGGAACCAGTCGTTTGGAACAGAAACCCACGGTCAAACCCCTGCCATGGCCTACGGAATATGCGAAAGTTAGTAACAAAGCTCAGCAGTTCGCTCTAGCTATGGGCTTAGAACAAAGAAGAAAAACTTTCGAAGAACTTGTACCTTCCTATCTACACAACTTCGCCGACATCTTTGCTAAAGACGGTCTTAACCAACTACCCTCCTGAACGACCTGGTATTGACCACCGTATCGAAACGAAACCCGGATTCATCCCCAAAACGTCGAAAATCTATCCCCTCTCTATCGCTGAATGAACCGCTGTCAAAGCGTTTATTGATGAAAACGTAAAGAAAGGCTTTATCTCGGAATCTAAGTCGCCGCAAGCCAGCGGTTTCTTCTTTGTAGGAAAGAAAAGCGGAGATCTTCGACCCTGTCAAGATTATCGGTATATCAATGATTGGACGATCAAGAATGCTTATCCCTTGCCACTTCCCTTATCTCTTGTCGCACGGTTACACGGAGCAAAGTATTTTACCAAGATGGACGTCCGATCCGGTTATAACAACATCCGCATTCACCCTGATGATAGATGGAAAGCTGCGTTCACTACGGAATTCAGACTCTACGAGCCGAACATCATGTTTTTCGGACTTTGCAACTCTCTGGCCATGTTCCAAGCCTACATGAACTGCACGTTCCAACAAGAAATTAATGAAGGATGGTTGGTGATCTATATGGACGACATCCTCATCTTTTTGGACAACCTTGATGATCACCACGCTTGTACCCGTCGTATTCTTACGAAAATTCGCGAAGAACAACTCTTCTTGAAACCGGAGAAATGTACCTTGACGCGCAAGAAGTCAAATACCTTGGTATGATTATTCGCCCAGGGTGCGTAGCTATGGATGCTGCTAAAACCGACGGAATCCGCGATTGGCCAACCCCATCCACTGTTAAAGAAACTAGATTGTTCCTTGGATTCTGTAACTTCTACCGAAACTTTATCCCTCATTATTCCGATATCGCACGACCCCTTATCGATCTGACAAAGAAAGACAACGTCTTCCTTTGGTCCACACCGTGTCAAGAAGCATTTATGACACTCAAGGAGTGTTTCCTGAAACAACCTGTCCTCCGTAACCCTGATCCATCTCGACAATTTGCAGTAGCCACCGATGCATCCCTTGTTGCAACTGGTGCTGTCTTACTACAAACCGATGAAAATGGTGGATATCATCCATGCGGATACCTCTCCCAATCTTTGAATCCCGCTGAACGAAATTATCAGATCTTCGATAGGGAACTCCTCGCCGTTATCCGTGCACTCCAATAATGGCGCCACTACCTTGAAGGAAACCCACATCCTGTCGTCATATTCACCCGATCATAAGAACCTCCTCTATTTCCGTACTGCGCAGAAGTTGACCTGTCGTCAGGCTAGATGGCAACTCCTTCTCTCATGTTACAATATCGAACTTCATCACGTACCAGGAACCAAACTTGCCGCACCTGATGCCTTATCTCGACGACCTGATCATGCACCAGATACCATCGATAATGAAGATATGACACTCCTACCCGATTCCATGTTCATCCGCCTTCTCGACCAAGAACTTATGACCACTCTTGCAAACCCTGACCCTGATGATACCGACCCAATATTCCAAGCCGCCTCTGACGCCTTGAACGGCCTTTGTCTCCCTCCCATGAAATCGGCCCTCTCTGATTGGACGATTAAGGATGACGTCTTATTCTATAAAGACCGTGCCTACGTCCGACCGGCTGGACACCACTCTATTTTAGAACGAACCCATGACCACGCCACAGCGGGACATCCCAGTCGTTTTAAAAAACGAAGAACTGTTAAACACGACTTCTGGTGGCCGTCTATGGGAACCTATATCTGTAAATACGTTGAGGGTTGCGCCCTTTGTCAGCAAATGAAGTCTGATACCCATCCGACTACTCCTCTGCTTGTTCCCATCCCTTCTTCGGTCTCCACCCCAATTTCCCAAGTCTCCATTGACCTCATCACCGACCTACCACCTTGCAATGGCTTCGATTCTATCATGGTCGTGGTAGACCATGGGCTTACGAAGGGGGTAATTCTCATCCCTTGTATGAAAACCATCACCTCTGAAGGCGTAGCAAAGAAGTTTTTCAAATACGTCTATCGCTGCTTCGGACTCCACAAGAAGGTGATCTCAGATTGAGGACCACAATTTGTATCCAAATTCTCTAAAGCCCTTGCCAAGCTTCTGAAATACAACATCGCCGCTTCTACCGCTTATCATCCACAGACAGACGGTCAAACCGAACGTCTAAATCAAGAACTAGAAACCTATCTTCGAATCTATTGCCGCAATAACCCAGAAGAATGGGTTGAACATATCCCCATGTCTGAATTCGTCCACAACCACTGCAAACACGACTCTCGCAACACATCCCCATTCTTCCTTATGATGGGATACGAGCCACGGGCTCTCCCCCATGTACTCCCAGATTCCACCGTTCCCACTGCAGAAGAACGACTTCGTCTCCTTCAGAAGATATGCGAAGAAGCTATCTCTTGTCATAACCTCGCAATGCAGCGAATGGCTGCACGATCGTATGGGAAGAAATACCAACCATGGAAAGTTGGAGATAAGGTTTGGCTATCGGGGAAGAATCTCATCATGCAGTTACCATCACGAAAACTCGCCCCAAAACGATACGGACCCTTTACCGTGAAAGCCGTACTCTCTCCTATCACATTCACACTCCAACTTCCAGAACAATGGAAGGTTCACCCCACGTTCCATGCTTCCAAGCTATCATCCTATCATGAAACCGAAATCCACGGTCCTAATTTCCCTGATCCTCCACCCGATATCATCGATAATGAAGAAGAATACAAAGTCAGAGCAATCTTATCACATAAAGGCACGGGTAAACGTAGACGCTATCTCGTATCCTGGAAAGGATATTCGTCTGCCAGTAACGAATGGATTTTCACAGAGAACCTCAGCAACGCCTCTGCAATCCTCGCTGCTTATAAGAAAGCTCACCAGTTATAAAAATGGTCACGACAAAACGTCTTTCTCAGAACTTCGCACTCTTCAAATCTGTCTCCTGCAACTCCAGACTCTTGTCAAAACCATTGATAACATGTCCGCAAGCCTCGCTACCCTCCCCATCCACAACGTCCATTACATTGACCGAAACCACTGAATCCCAAAACTACTTCAACCATTCTCGACGACATCGAGACCAATACGCTATTTGAATCTGCTTTACTTTCTGAACAATACGCTATTGAAATAGACCGCCTCCATCAGGAAAAACTGTTTCTCTATATAGATAATCATCCTCTATATAGTTGTGATAGTGGGTCATAGCTCTACAACAGTCTATGGCCAGCTATGATAGCCATAGAGACCATATAGAAATCATGAAGGTCTATATATTACCATAAGTTTGGTAAGCATATTTGGAGGTAAAACAATTAAGTAAGAAGGTATCGCATTTATCTAATACATTATCTGAAGTCCAATCTATAGGAATGGTTGTTGTGCCAAAGTTCGGAACAAGCTGACATGTCTGTCTAATACAAGACAGTGGAATAACTTTACCTGGCAATGAACCATCTGAAGAAAGTAAAGGTTTCTTGACAGTATACATCTCATGATAGTCTTCTGCTGCAGATTTCAATGGAGTATACCACTCAACATATGCCAAGGGTCTTTAGTCCATGCAGGTTGAATAGACCCATATACTTGTTGTGGCAGACGAAATATAATCTTCAACCTTCCAATACGGGTTCCTATAGTTTTGAAATTTTCATACAATTTTTCAACAGATATATCATAATATTACTCACCTGTTAAAACCAGTGCTTTCACAGTCAGGATCATCCATGACTACAACTGTATCAAAGCGTCCAGCTTTATGAGAAACAGGTGGCTGTGCTTTGACAAAATCTGCCTCCTCCAATTGATCAAAGTCAACGTCATTGCCTAATGACTCTAGACAGAATTCTACTTAAAAAAAATATCTACTGATTTCAAGATAGGTGAAGTCGCTTCATGGCTTGTTTCTGCCAAAAAAGGATCCTTTTCTATGTGGTGAATTGGATCTCAAGGTACGTCTCTCATATCTACAATATTACGAAACTTAAGTATGTTTTAGAACAAGACCTTCAACAAGAATCTACCATTTCGTGCAGCACTCTTGCGCCAGCTACTCATTAGTCAATTTTTTCAAGGCGCGGGTATCAGAAGGTTTGCTATATAAGGATGAGTTTGAAAAACTCCCTGATAACCTTCTTGCATTAATTGCTACTGCGGTAATGAAGCCTTTCTGTGGATTTAGCTATAGCTGATTTTTTTTTCAGGCTGAATGCGCATTCAAGGGTATGCTCACTGGCTCCCCAGTAGTCATAGAATTCAAAGAGCCAGTCTTTCAACCAAGGTGAGTCGCACTGTTGTGTAGTATAGTTTGATGTCAACTAATGTTAGATTTCTTTAGACACCAGTACTATATGCTGAAGCTGGGCTGAATACAGACAGAAATCTCCCATGTATATGGAGAAACTACGTCATGATCTGTGGACAGAGGTTGGGTAAAAGCGCTTTCTTCATTTTATATATAGATATATTGGGCTAATAATTGCTACCATAGGGAGGCATGTCGCTTTGTGGTGAGAGAGGATGAGGAATCTGGGTCAGAATTAGATTTTGATGCCATGGAGGCGTCTGCTAGAGTACAAACTAATGCTCCTAGTACTACTTCTGATGTTGCTATTGCCTAATAGCATTGAAATAGGTGCTTTTATCTATCTAATATGAATATGTGCGGTTTGAAAAGCTACAAAGCGTCTCATAGACAGTGAATTCAACTACTATACCAAGATTTGGATATAGCATAGTCAAGTATAGTTATGTATAGTTTTAAATTTGATTGACATTGGTTGTGTATGATAGTAGTATATATTTACAATACACTGTATGTCACTATAGAGCACTATACATAGGTCTAGTAAGCCTGCAAAATCAGGCACTTGTCTATATGGGCTTTGGGGCTATAGAGACTATATAGTGTGGCTATAGTGCTATGGATGGCTATATAGACTTACCATATTTTCCTGATGTCCTTGCTGAACAAGGAGCTCTTTCTAGCACACTCCTCATTAACATCATTCGCGCCGCCAATCTTGTCAAACGTACCGCAGGGACTGCTCAATGACGAACGTCTTGAAAACCATTTTTCTGTCACCTTCACATACGTATGCGCAACACTGCAATACGTCTCTTGCCTACCTCTACCAAATAAGTTGTTAGAGAAGCCATCCATATCGTCACTGAACGAATTGTAAACAACCCCAATCGCTAGACCACCATCCCCTCACGTCGCAATTCCCGTTCCACCTCCGGTTGAGATATCAACTCCTGTTGAGCATACACCTAATGTTATCACTCCTCCTGCTGTACTGATCGTACCAATTGCTTTCACGTCTGCCCCGGCGGCAACAACCCCTCGTATATGTCTCCACCCATCGACGACCCTCCAAGCGAGAGATCTCCGTCTCCCCTCCTTCTCACAACCGCACTTTACATTCCAAGACAACCATCCCCACCTCCACAATCATCCTCCGTCACCATCGTAAAGACTGAACCCCACGATAACTTCATGTGTCGTAACTGTAATGAAATCGGTCATCGTCACAAGAACTGCCCCACATATTTCTGTTGCATATGTCGTAATCTCGTGCCAGGACACCTTTCCGTCTTTTGCAAAGACCTTAAAGGGGAAAAGCCTATCCCTTTAGTGTGGACGGATGCAGGTTTCTATGAAGCCCTCTCTAGATGGGAGAGGCTGATAAAGACGCCGCTATGGAACAGATCTCGATCGAAGAAGATGAGAGGACTGTTTGTTCAATGTGCTGGGGACCGCGATAACTATGACGCTTACGATAATTTGATTGTTGAAATCGGTGACTTCAACGATAACAACGGGGTAATGTTACAATCCAGTACGCCCCTATTCATTTTCCTTTGTTTACTTTCTCTTTACGTTGTATTACACCATGATCGCATCATGCCTGTCGCTAGGTGATCTATTCTCGTCTTATCTCTGACTCATTCTGATTCCGTCTTATCTCTGACTCATTCTGATTCCGTCTTACCTGCCCTAAAGCAGCTATCATTTACTATACAAACTCTTCTGTACTATGTAGTTTCTTTACTTTAATCTTTACTAGGTTTTACCTGGAACTTCCTTCGCTTGAGACCCTCCAATCTTAAGTTGTATTGAACTTGATTCAAGTCGAGGACACTCTCCTTGCCTTGTCTTAGAAAATGGAAACTTCAGTATACGCCGAAAGCCTTGAACCGACCTTGGCCGATTACTCTTATCGAGTAGCCATACGTCAGAACCATCCTAGTTCGTAACAGTAGCGACACTGGCGAGGGCACGATGTAGCGACAGGTAATAAAACATGCAGCGCAGCGGAACACGAGGATACATGTAATAAGACCTGTGACTGATCAGTAGCGACATTTAAGGAATAATAACGCACCAGCGGAGGTAGGTGGACATAGGCAGGACATGGAGGACAGAATACCTAGGCGTTGGACCAGGTAGTGTGCTATGGGAGAAAGTTGGTTCCAAAGTGGATAGCTTGGGAGTTGATAGCGCTGGTGACTAGCGCTTTACTCTTTTCCTCTAGGCAAGGCAAAATATGCCTATGACACTCATATGCGCCCAGCGCTGGTATGATTGTCACATTGGTCTGAAAAATGTTAGCATAAGTACAGCTCCGTTCGGCATTGCAGTCGGACTTTGAAGTGAGACTTAGTTGTTTGGGAAGGGTGAAGAGGTGAAGTGAATCATGATTGGCAGATGGAGTAGTGTACTAGTATACAATAAGCTACATAAGAAGGTCTGTCTACCAAACCCCGTGTCTGACTCTGTCAAAGAAAAATGGAGAGCTGTGAGGGAGAGTATTAGTGAGCCGAACCCAGTCTGTATGCTTCACCAGTGGTTTTAATACCATCTGCTTGCTATCAACGTCCCAGATGATGATGGTATCATCTCTTCTACCACTCGCAATTCACCTATCATCTGGCGATATAGCGACTGAATACACACAGTCACTGTGTCACTTGAATGGCCCCCCCCTTGTGCTGTGCCTGTTGGAGAGAGCTGCAAGGGGGAGGGGGAAGCAGAGACCTGCAAGGGAGGGGGACATGGAGACCTGCAAGGGAGGGGAGAAGCAGAGGACCTGCAAGGGAGGGGGGACACGGAGACCTGCAAGGGAGGGGAGAAGCGGAGACCTGCAAGGGATGGGAGGAAGTGGAAACCTTCAAGGGAGGAGGGGTGCACATATGCACAAATGCATGGCATCAAGTGGCTCTGGAACAGGTTGTGGAGGAGCAATAGGTTGTACTGGCTTCTGAATATGAGTAATCTCTGAGGGAGTTCATGTGGATGGGTGTTGTCATCGTCAATGGTACTGGCGCTGCACTGCTTGTCGCCAGCAAAAGGAAAATTTAAACTCCGACCCCATATTTGGATTCCATCACATGGAGCGGTAAGCTGATTAATAAGGATTGATAAGCATTATTGGTGTCTCTTGAACCTTAATATGCCCCAGTCTTTCCCTGCATAACCAGCTGCTTTGATGAACTGGATGAGGCAGAATTAGCCTTAGCCATTTTCAAGTACAAGCATGCAATTCAGACTCTGAACCTATCTGACTTTTCTGATGCTGATTCTGATTCTGATTCTGGATTGGATATGCTCATCACTCCTCCATCTCCTCTTACCCCACAATTATCTGAATTTTTGGACTCTGACTCTGACGACGAAATCACCCGTGTTACTGCACATTACGACCGCATTAACGACACTATCACTTCCCTTCGTGATGAGGTCTCAAGGGCATGTGTGCTTCAAAAGCCAGATGCACCTCCTATGCAGGCCCCTCAGATTCACCTCCTTCATGATTTTGGGACATCTCGCGCACATCTCTTATGGAAGAAACTACGTGTCAATCCAGAGATCTTTGATGATATCCTTGATCACATCTCAGGTCGCCCCATCTTCACTAATCAGTCCAATAACCCCTGACTTCCAGTTGCTATCCAGCTAGCCATTTTTCTCAACCGCGCTGGACACTATGGCAATGCCATTTCTCCAGAGGATGTGGGCCAATGGCAGGTGTTAGTGTGGGGTCAGTAATCAATTGCAGCAACCATGTCATGATTGCCCTCCTTGATCTGCATGATACATTCATCCAATTTCCTGCTCCTGACTCCAAAGATGCTGAGCGTGCTCGGCAATTCGTTGAGGCTAGGTCCTGCCCTGAGTGGAGAAATGGTATTTTTGCAATTGATGGCTCTGCCATTAATTTGTATGAGAAGCCTGGTCTTTATGGTGAGGCTTTTTATGATAGGAAGTCTAACTATTCCGTCAACTGCCAGGTATTTTTTTCTTCACATTCTAACCATTAAAAACTAAAATAAAAATTTAGATGGTTATCATGCCCCATAACCTCCTCATAGTCAATTATTCACTTGGTAACCCTGGCAGTACACATGATGCTTATGCCTTCAAATCCACTCGTGTTTATCAAGAGCATGACACTCTTCTTCCAGAGGACCATTGGATTTGGGCAGATAGTGCCTACCCACTTGAGAAGTGGTGCATTGCCCCTTTCAAGAAGCCATGTAATGGGAGGTTGACCAGGGACCAGAAGTCCTTCAATATTAACCTCTCTTGGGTATTTCTTAATTTTTCTGCTGATTTTTGCAATTTTCACTGATTTTTTATTCATATAGGTCCGTGTTCATGTTGAACATGCATTTGCAGCTTTGAAAGGACAATTCCAGTCTCTCAAGGAACTTAGGCACCCACTTCAGAACCAGAGGGATCTTCAGGTCACCCTCCATTGGGTTAGGTGTTGCCTAATCCTTCATAATATGATCATCTGCTTTGAGGAGATTCGCAAGAACTCCACACTTGTATGGGCTGTCCAAGAGGGACGCAATACTGTATGCCATGAGGATGAAGGACCAGATGGTGATGAAGTAGTAGGTGATAGGTCTTATGAAGGCACTCCAGGTCAAGCTCACAGGGCAAGGCTGATGGATTTATTGTTTGATAGCCCCCATTCAGAAGCACACCATCAGGCAGATTGAACAAACAAGCACAGTAACATTATGTATAGCTAAACAAATGTACTACTAAATCTTACAACCAGTGATCAACTTGTAACCATATATAAGAATGCATACAAGCATAATGAGACATATAACATCCAAGACATGTAATGACAACGCGAGAACATAATGACAACGGCATGAGAACACAATGACAATGATGTGAGAACTTGATGATGACAATGACACACAATGACAACGATGGCACGAGACCATGATGACAAAGACGACGGCGCAAGAACATAATGATGAAGATGACAGCGCAAGAACATGATGATGAAGATGACAGTGCAAGAGGAACATGATGACGACAATGATGGCGCGAGAACATGATGACAACAACGATGGCGTGAGAACATGACAATAACGACAATGGCACGAAAACATGACAACACCAGAAGTCAGGTACCAGCACTGGCAGGTCTGCCACCCTGGGGGGCATTGAGCTGGGCCCACTGAATCCGGAGGCATAGAACATCCACTTCACGCAGGCAAATATCTACTTCTTTAGCCTCCTTCATGCGCTGATGAACTATGGCAGCGTCTGAGCACTCGTTCAAATGCTCCTCACACATCATATCATGCTCCTTGTCCTGGCAATTAGCATTTAGTGTGACCATAAGACATTCGTTCTTGAGTTGATATAGGGTGAGTTTGTCAGAATGCATACTTTCTAAGTCGTCGTTGAGCATATCAATTTGCTCGCAAATCTCCGTCCAAAGACGTTTTGAGGCTGAACTTGCTGGTGTTGAGATGGATGTTTGTGTGGTTGGGGAGGACTGTTGAGATGACAGCTGTTGAGAAGAGTGTGACAATGGACATAACCCTGACGATGCCACAGAGCCCAATTTGCTCTTTTCATGCCTCATCACCTGGCTAACATGAGACTTGAATGAACTGCGATCGTTTTGGACCAAAGTGCGGGACATCTGTGGCATCTGAGAGGTAGCAGGAGGGGAGGGGGGGAGGGAGGCTCCTGGCATTTCTTCCCAGCCCTGGGTCTTGGCGGGCTGTTCAGGCTGATAGTGTTGCTGTCGTCATGTGTGATTTCATCCATCCCATCCATATGAAGGTCCTCCATCTCATCCGCAAGAGAGTTGTCATCATAAAGGCCGTCATAATTATAATTGTCATTGAGGGAAGGAGTGATGGGAGAGTACAGTGGCTCAAAAAACTGTCCGCATGTTTTGACATTTTTCACTATCTATGATATTGTGTGAGAATGAACAAATTCCTCAAGGACATACTTATACCACATTGTAGTATGGCTTCAGGGCTTTTATTTGAGCCCTACACCGTGGGAATCGGCGGAGATATGGTGGAGATATAAGGCTTATAAAATGATGACTCATGTGGACAGTTTTTTGAGTGTATATTAAAACTATATAAATCATTATTTATGACACCATAAAAATCATGCCACTATTATATAAATTATAAAGTGGTGTCATTATGTTATTTTATGACTATATCTAACTATATAAACCAGAATATCTCATGTATCATAGTCATAATCACCATGAAAAGCCATCTCCTCTGCTCAAAGAGATAATATCCTCTCTCTGTCTTATGCTGGCCTCTCTGCTCGCCAAATTTCCTCTAGAACTGGAATATGCAAGTCCACTGTGGCCAAGTTCATCAAAGAAAGCCACCCAGACAAGGAAAACTCTTGTGGAGGACGTCCATCCAAGCTTACCTCTACTGACAAAAGGGCTATTATCCAACATATCACTACAGGAAAGGCTGATAATGCTGTCCAAGCCACCCATTATATCAATTCCACCATCACTACCCCTGTCTCTTCACAAACTGTGAGGAATGTTCTCAAGGCAGCTCATCTCAAGGCAGTAACAAAGAAGAAAAAGCCTCTTCTCTCCATCAAACATAGGCAGAGAAGACTAGCCTTTGCCTTAGCTCATCAACACTGGACTGTAGAGGACTGGAAGCATGTTATATGGTCAGATGAGACCAAAATCAATAGGATTGGGTCAGATGGGAAGGTGTATGTATGGAAAAAGAAGGGAGATGGCCTAACAGACAGAGAGGTTAATGGGACTGTCAAGTTTGGAGGAGGTTCTTTAATGGTATGGGGCTGTATGGGATGGAATGGTGTGGGAATGCTTGCTGAGGTTGAGGGGAAGATGAATGCTGAGCAGTATGTGGACATTTTAAATGACCACTTGCTGCCTAGCTTGGCAGAATCAGGGATTGATGAAGAAGATATCATTTTCCAACAGGATAATGATCCCAAGCACACATCCAGAAGAGCTAGGGAATGGTTTGAAGAACATAACATCAATGTTCTTGACTGGCCAGCACAGTCTCCTGATGTCAATGTCATTGAACATCTCTGGGGAACACTCAAGAAAAAGCTTCAAGCCTATGAAAACCCCCCTAAAGGAGTATGGGAGCTTTGGGAGAGAGTAGCAGTGGAATGGGGGAAGATCACAGCTGAGGATTGCCAGAAATTAATTGAGAGTATGCCTAGAAGGATAGAGGCAGTAATTAAAGCCAAGGGAGGTCATACAAAATACTAGAATACCTGGTTATTACTGTAAAATACTTGAGTCAAAAAACTGTCCGCATGAGTCACCATTTTGTGAGCCTTGTATCTCCACCATATCTCCACCGATTCCCACGGTGTAGGGCTCAAATGAAAGCCCTGAAGCCATACTACAATGTGGTATAAGCATGTTTTTGAGGCATTTGTTTGTTCTCACACAATATTATAGATAGTGAAAAATGCCAAAACATACGGACGGTTTTTTGAGCCACTGTAAGTGCCGTCGTGAGACATGGAACCGGAGGGAAGTGGCAGGAAACAAAAAACAGGGGAGCCAGCAGAACTGTTGGTGTGAGTACCTGGGGGTGAGGGTGCATAGTTCCATTGCGAGGGGCTACCACCACTGCCTCCAGGAGCAGGGGGACTGTAGAAGAATTGGGGGGAGGCAGATGGTGCCATGGCGGCACCACCTGCATGGGCGCTTGGGGGAGGATAGCCGTAAGCAGATCCAGTTGAGGACCCAGCAACACCGCCAGCTTGAGCATTTTGGGGGAGAGGCATGTAACCAAGTTGCATGGGAGAATCAGGATCAGTGCTGGAGGAAGCAGAGGGATGAACAGCACCACCCTAAAGGACAGGTGAGAGAAAAGAGATCACCCACATGATCAATGCCTGGCTTTGATGATGATGTTTTGGCAGAGAAAGACAGATGGGAGCCCCAGATGGAGTAGAGCTGATTGTACCAGGGAAAGTCCTTCTTGTATTTGCCTATAAAATTGATTAGGAGAATTTTTGTAAGGAGGAGAAGACTCACGGTGTAAATTCATGCTTGTCTCTGAATCAATGGGCACAATGCTTGCGCCTGTCAATTTGAATTCAGCGCGAATGTCATGAAATTTCGTGCAGAGGTTTTGATCGGTCTGATCAGCATCGATGTCAATAAAAAGAGGGGGGGCCAGTTACGCCACAATGTGATTACCTACAGAGTCTTGAAATTTGATGGGATTTGACGCATAGAGCGGCCCATATTGAGGATCGTCAGAGAAAACAACTCTTGCAATGAAAGTGTGTATTTCATTTTTGTCTTTACCTGAGGGCCGACCCTCAGCTTCATGGTTGGCCAGATTCCTTTTTTCACTGGCTGAACAGAATGCGGCAATCCGGTGCACTTCCAACAAGGTGGTCAACCAGCCTATTGGTCCACTGGGGAACTGATTGCCAGCTGATAGAAATAGTGGGGGTAGTATCTCTACCTCCTCTGCCACGTGTTTTCCCCTTCCACAGTGCAGAAGGAGCCAGTGGTGGGTCCATAACTTTCGGACCAGTCCTGCAACGTCGTGAAGAGATGATTTCAGAGAGTGTCCCTAGTCGTGCAGAACGATGAAGTCATGGTTGTAGGGCAGGCATATCTTTTAGAACTCCGCATCGATGCCGGTGTAAGCCGTAGTAGTAAGCCTTAAGTCAAGATGAACTTTACCGAGCTTTACCGAAGTTTACCAAGCTTACCGAGTTATCAGGAAATTACTTTGAACACCATTACTAAGTGACTGAAAAAGTTTGCTCTAGTACCTGTACCGTGTCCTCTTCGCATTGGTTGTTGTTGTTGGCATTTGGCATCTCCAATACCTTTCTTGTCTCTTCTTGCTTCCTGGTACTATACAGTGATTCACCTTCGTCACTCAGCCACACGATTATGTAACAACTCCATTTGGTATTAGTAGCAACCCGCTTGTATGATTCTCCTCAGCGTTTGTTTCCCTCTCGCTGAGGTATGTTGTTCTCACATAGCGTATATACACTTGTACTTACAGAGCCCAATTCTGACTCGCTGTAGGTACTGAATATAGCATTTGTTTCCCTCTCGCTGAGTTCTGACTCGCTCTAGCCATCAGCTGTGAACGCGTCATACAAAGTTGCGTAATGATAACCCAGACAAAGACCGGGTTGCAGCATGCGTAATCGTGCTGACAAGCCTCTATTTGTTGGACCAGGAACCAAGTGGAGCCATCATGCCCATCAGACTTGCAACTAGTGTAGGGGGCAGAAAGGAATTGGCCTCATGGCAATTGGCAAAATGGCAGAACGGCAATTGGCAGAATGGCAGAAGTCGGCAAAAAGTATTATGAGCGTTTTTGGCTCTTTTCCACTATGTTTCTACTACGGCAAAAATAGCTTTGACCACTACATCGAGGCTACACCTTCTGACATCAAAAGTGCATCAATATTCCACCCTGATGCACTCTCTGAGCCTTGATTGAGTACATCAATCTCTTCAACGCATGATACCTCTGTCAACCCTCTAGCTCACTCAGGCTCAAGTCAATGATGCCGCTCGGCGCTATCCAGAATGTCTGGTACATCACCTGCAATCAAACTATTGCCTGCCCCGTCGTTTTCTCACAGTTGGTCAGCTTCTCATGTCTTGCGCTCGAATCTTTTGCTCACATCAACTCCTTGTCAGTCATTGATTCCGAACCTGCAAGATAGTCTTGGTCATCAGAGTCTGCTGCGAGGGGAGGAATCCAAGCAACCGATTTTTGCGACTTGTCGGCAAAAGCAACATTGAGTTCATGTTTAGGACAGGTATATGTGTGTGTTCGACAAACAGGCTTCCCAGCTTTGGAGTCCATCTTTACGGTACAGGAAGTATGCATAGCTTGCATGAAGTGATTCAAACGGACTGAGATGAAAAGTAGTGCTTGATATCGGCCATGTGAGGTACAATTGAATGGATGTGAGCAGTAGTTACATTTGAAAAAGTAGTGTTTCGAGTTATTTTTGACTTTCTCCCTGCAGGGAAAAAGTGGTCAGACACGATGTTTTGGACATGATGGCACTTGGATTTTGGGGCCATGGTAATTGCCAACTTGCACACCAAGATACATCAACCATATGTCAAATTTCTATTGTTTGTTAGTAGGAACAAGTACTAGGTTATCATAGTTCTGCCGACTTCTGCCAACCACCTTCGACCTACTGCCGGCAATTGCCGCCTGGCAATTGCCACTGGCAGAAATATTTCATTCTGCCAACAACACTACTTGCAACGCCCAGATCTGTACTACCCTTTTCTAGCTAGGTTCAAGAAACAAGGAACTACATAGAAACTTGGGACGAGTCATGACCCGTTTGGACCTCCCAGTCTCGCATAACAAAGGAAGCTGGAGTGTGTCACACGGTTGGCTTCAGTATCGCTGAGTAGTCTCAACTTTCCCGTACTGTGCACCTGCTCAGGCTGGCATCCGAGTCGACATGAGACAACAGTGCACCGACGATCGCGTTTCACCAGTTTCTTTTCTTGTCGTTGTCGTAGTGCTTAAATCAGGACGTACAACTTGCAACGAGCATGCTGTCGATGCTCCTCGATCGTCCTGGTACAGAGTCTTTGCTCTCACCATCTATGCGTGCCCCTTGTTGCATCACTAGGCCGCCTGTATTACTACTATTGTTGAACAGTGGACACAGCTGCACACCACAACGCTAACACCATGAATCTCTCAACTCGCCAAGGCCATCGAATTTTTCAATGTGAGGTAGGGATTCACTGTCGACTACCCGACAAATCAGCTACGGACTCGCGATCTGTCAACGTTGTCCTTCACTAGCGCGCTAGTTCTGGTCCCTAATTGAAGGTGGCGGTGAGAGGGTGGACATATCGTTACCCGCTTCCTGCTTCGCGGTTAGCATTGGATTGTGCGGGCATGCTCCATCACCAAGACATGATGCGAGACGTTCTGGTTCATTCTGCACCGCGGAGATGTGAGTATGGACTGACGCAACATGCATGTGCACAGACCTGTTTCTCTTCAAAACACCATATCAGTCCCACAACAATACTCTCATACTCCCTGCAAAGCACTACCCGATAATCATTAAATACTTTTAACATTGGGAATGTTAGACATCACTGCTAGTTGACACTTGCGTGCGGTCAAGGAAGACAATCGCAGGCATGCTGGTCACTGCATCGGAGTCAGATATGAGCTGAGCGTGATATTTTCGAACATCGAGGATGAGGCGCGGTCCCAGCACAAACATTTGCACGAGCGAGAAAATTTGAAGAACACCGCCATAAATCTGAGTGCCCACAGTAGTTGAGTCCTATGAAAATGATGAACGATAGTCGCATGCAGAACAGTGACAGATCGGCGTACCAGAATTGCCGGAGACAGATAGCCGAGTTGGAAGCAAGACACAGTAACAAAGCTAGCACATGCACGACTTCAGCGCCAAAGAACAACCCCGTTCGAAATATGAGCAAACCTTGCAAAGTAAAGCACATGTGATTTTATCAACACTGTGAAGCAGTCCCCGATGGTCCGTCTCGTCCATGGTTGTCGCAGTTCACGAAAGTGTTTTCCAGCTTTCCAGAGTGCAAGGCACAACGTGAGGACCTCCCACGTGGTGCCGAGCAACCAATACTCGGCCGTCAGAGGTACGTTTCCCCCAATGAGACACTGAGGCTGACAGTAGCTGCCAGGGATCATAAGGTCCTCTGATATTCGTCCCATGAGCTTGATTCACTTCAATCTTTCGTCCATAGATAACCTTACCAACTGAGATATGGCGGGTTTGTATCGCAGTAATCACTCCACAGGTAATCGTGATAGCGAGAAAGATCACAACGAGAAAGATAAGCAACTTTCTCGATTGCTGATACATGGCAAATAACCGAGTGATCATGATGACTTGCATGATATCTCAGTCAAGTCGATATCACTGAGGTATTGCAGATGAGTAGCTCACCCCCCAGCATGCCATTGATGACAAAGGATATGCACAATGATGCAGAGTTAATAATTTCACCTGAAAAAAACGTGAGCCTCGAAGAACCGCACAATGCAATTAAACTCACAGCTGTGGGACTAGTTATATTAAATCAACAAGCCAATCGAGAATTTCACTCACCCCTACAGAGAGCAGTTAGTGTGAGAGAGCGACAGGCATAGTAGAATGCTCACTGTATTAGTTACGGAGTCTGACGGAACAATTGCTGGATGCCCCAGGTTAGAAGAAAGAAGTGCAGTGGACGTTATACATACTAAACACAAACACACTGATTGTGAAAGATCGATCAGTAACATATCACCAACTTGTTGGGCAATCATACACAGCATATAACATTCCAATGTAGCGCACCTAGAAGACTTTGAAGTAAGCCCAACCTGACAACCGCGCTTATAACAAGGCAGAGTTACGTACAATGAGAAAAAGAGCAGTCATGAAGGACCAGCGCCGCCTCTGCCCCGAATTAATTGTATTGTCCTGTTGCTTTTGTGATTGGGACGCTGCTCACCCAGATCAGTTCAATCTAGTATAAAACCATTCCTAATGAGATAGCCACTCGGTAATTGCGCCAACCTACCTCTTGTCCAAATGTCAGTGCTGGAAATATCGTTCAGTCTGGTTCCTTCTGGTTCTTCAATGTTATATTGCTCACCCCACTCGTATGAAACCACAACAGCAGAGGCAGCTACGAAACCGCAGACAGGTTAGATCGGGTATCACTGACACTGTCAGACCAGCTGTCCACGAACCTATAAAATAACTGTAAACACGATACGAATCGATCTGCGCCCACCAACTAGAATAATCTGAAACTGATGTCATCAATTGGGGAGATAGGTGTGTCGGAGTGAGTGGTAAACTCGGGGAATATATACTGTAACAATATACTGCCATCTAGCGTCTTTATCGCTGACATGTGCAGTACGGTATGCACTGACCGGTACCGTGAATGTTCGTTCCTCTCGGATCCCTTTCGACCAAAGCAGGCATAGTGGTCTGAAATCAAGTAGAAAGGGAAAGTCACTCCAGAGTCACTCGATCGACCACCCGGGGATCTGATAAGCAGTGTCGTGCACACGGAGTGTTTGACCACCCGAACACTGTTCGTAATTTGGAGACCGTCTCCAATGTTCTTTACCCATGCCCGGGAAGCGTGACAGCTCGTCCAAAACTCCGGGGTCTTTTAAGACTTTCTGTTGGCAAGGAAAAATGGACTATTCCAAACGCAGCAAACAGATGTCTAGCCTTATTTAGCACCCTCTTCCACTCAGCTCGCAGTGCAATATAGGCCCGTAGTGTAACCGACCGGAAATGCACTGCACTATCATACTTGTCCATTACGCAGGCACTGATTAAGCTTGGTCTAGTGAACGGCATCCCTATCCCTAATTTAAAATGAGACGTCTAGTGGAGAAAATACGCCTCAGACGTGCCTGTACGTGCGCATGAATAATATTGAATATACAAGAAGCCCGGTTTTTGGCACAGGCTCCATGATAAAGACCAACCAGTGCCGGTTCAACGTTCATCTCCAACCAGTATAAGCACTAGCTACAAGTTCATGGTAACCAGTTGAGTCATTCGGACCTTTCCCGGCGGTTCCTTCGAACAACTTCTGAGCGGAAAAAGTCCGGACACCCTCACGTTATTCACAATGACTCGAAAAGACCCCAGACTCTTGCTCAACATCTTCGCCACCAAGCAGTGCTTGTACATAACGGCCTCAACATATCCCCTGCATACTTTCCTTTCCTTAACTTCAGCTTTCGATATTCTCCTCGTCACGTCTTCGACATGTTAACTTCTTGCATTTTTTTGTGTATTAGCTCCGCTTTATTGACACTTTGTAACAAATGCAGATTCGATAATATATGGCCCGTAACGCGCTCACTGCAAACCGTTGACACCTGCATGACTCCAGCAACCCAATACTGGGTAATATCAAACTAACAAATTCGCGCTGCTAGCACTATACCGTCTTGCAAGCTTTATACCTGAAGATTTCAAGATATACGGCATGCATATCCGGCCGCTACGAACGGCAATGAGCAGGCTCAACCGTGACTGCATGAATTTGACACTTCTAGGTGGCATCGTGAGAGGACGAGCTTTTGACGACCGAGCGGTGCAGAGCACTGATGATATATTCAGGCGTCACTGGGCATCGGCACTCGCGATCGTAATTTCACTCATACCCAGTGCATCACTCTTACTCACGCAATTTGATTTTAACGACGATTTGGCTCTATCGCAGCACCACCCTGTCACACAAAATCCAGTGGCATAACTTGCAGGCAACGGACATATTGTGGCATTACGCCACGCATCATGATGCACTGTAGCAACCAGCGCCCTGAATAACCATGCCATTCACGCCAGTGCCATCCTGCACACTTGTTGATACCCTTCGACCAGATAACAGGAGCCGTACATGTGGCCGTAGCATCATGATACTATACACAATTCTATCACCGCACTTGTGACTAGCGAGTTTGACGACTCACTCCTTCCACTCCACCTCGCCCGTGTTCCTGTCTTGTAGTTCAGTACTCTCGATGGTGCACCGTGTGGATGATGATAGCCTAGGTGCCACCCAAACCTCAGTCTACCCAACCTACAACAAGACACTCTGACCCATTCTACGGCCTCGAGTAGGTTTCGCAGTTATGTGCTCAGTTACCCATCTTTTTACCTGTCCAGAGTACCCCCGCTTCTTCTAACTCTCAAATAAAGCTCCCCCATTTTATCGCATATGTACTTCATCGCACTAAACTCCATGCTTCCGTAACCTTCGCTGCTCTCATCCTGCTCCAGGGATTCAGGGCACGCTTTATTAAAATTTTACGGTCGTCGGTCACTCGCAGTTGTGCAATGTGCGCCCTTGTATAAGACTATCCATCAATAGTATCGTATTCATTGCAAATTCATCGATGTGCTTACACGCTAGGATACAAATAACACAAACGTCCAAACGAAGTCTAATTGCCACCTCAGCAACAGGAAGCGCCACTTCAAGTAATGGAGAGACATTAAATACGGTAGCAGGGAGAGCCAGCGTGCGGGCAGTGGGGATACATGCCAGTTGAGGATTATATACTGCTCAGTGATGGCTGCAACATTAACTTGAGGTGAAGATGTTGAGCAGAGTTTTGGGTCTTTTCATTGTGAATAACATGAGGGTATTCGGACTTTTTTCTCCAGACGGGAAGAAAGCGGTTGGTGGTGGTTAGGAAGGGAAATCGGGTCCATTTTGCGACGACTTTGCACATGTTGAATCAGTGACCTTGAATATGATGTGTAAAGTCATTGCAAAAGGGACTTTGGCAAAGACTGCAAGGAAGTGGAGCGTAGATTCAAAGGAGGGAGGTCGCAGTCCGAAGTCGTGTATTCACCCGCCAAACTTGACCATGTGTGTGGCTGCTGGATACGACCCTTCGTCTGTCCCTAGTCGTATTTTGCCTTGCTTGGACCCCGGATGAGAAACCCCTTATCTCCGGGTCAGTCGATTTACTCAATTAGGACTTGGAATTACTCCCCATGCCTTTGCAACTTGTATTCTCTTCGGAATGATGGCGTCCTCACATAGACTGGTGACCAGCCCCTCTATGAGACAAACCCTCGATAGAGGGACTGGTAAATCTGGGTTTGAATTTGGATAGTGCGCGCTTTGGAGTAATCACATGACTGAAAAGCCTTGTCGGGAGTTAGATAAGTCTTTGCTAAGTTCTCGATTACATACCGAACGTGTCAACATTGCTCGTCGACTCCGGCAGCGATCAGCTCTGTTCCACTGGCCGCTGCAGGGCAGCGTCACGTTGCACTCGGACAGCCCTATTTATGATTTGAATTCAAACTTCGGCTTCTTCTGAGATAGTACTGGTCCTAAGCGCCTGTTCTTAAGGGGGAAATGTCTCAAGGATGGTCCTGGGATGACGGGGACCTCTCGATGCTGATTGATACTGATCTGGAGACATTTCAGAGGTGAAATCGTCACACTGATAGTGTCCGGACGAAATAGATTAGGAATTATGAGACACAAGGTCTTTCCGCAGCCTGTACCGGCTGTAATTATGCTGTCACGGCCATTCAATGTTGCAAGAATGGCTTCTAGCTGGAATACTTGTGGAACAATGGTTGTAGCCGTGAGGATGTACACGAGCAGGCAAGCGCGTAACACATCCGTCTTATCCTTGTCACTGAGGGTTTCGATATAGTCGGTAGGGAGCCGTTCTTGCCATATTAGCGAACGAGCAAATGAATCTAGTCTTTCCATCGAGGCTTCCCGCACAGCTTGGATGATAGAGTTCACGTCCATTGGAGTTGTAGAGTAGATACATACATTAATGACGCGACCGCGTTTGCATCGCATCAATATGAATCAAACATTAATTTCAACATTTCAAATATTCACGTCGAAAATTTCAGTTTTCTTATTGGCTACAGGTCATGTGATTACTCCAAAGCGCGCACTATCCAAATTCAAACCCAGATTTACCAGTCCCTCTATCGAGGGTTTGTCTCATAGAGGGGCTGGTCACCAGTCTAGTCCTCACACCGGAAGACAAGTGTGAAACCTCGACAGCGGCCAGCCCATCCGAGTCAGTTTGCCCTTCCACCATATCAGAATAGTGGCTTGCGTGTACTTTTAGGCAGATGGAATGCTGCTAGCCATTACCTGTTGGGACTATAACGCGTACTCGTCTGCAACAATAAATCTTGACGACCTGTTGGATGTCAATGTGTGTTGACAGGCGTATCTCATGGTATTTCATTCTCACTATGATGTCTGAACGCGTTCGCCCAGGGCAACAACGTCAGAAATTCGATGTAAAGTTCATAAACAAATCTCATTGCATTTAAATACTTTCTGGGCTTACGCTACACGACCTCTGGTCCGGCCATTCAAGGTCTCCCATCCGGTATTTCGAGATGTATTGTGACCCACCCCATCGTCCTCATGTACGTCGTAAATGCCTTGTGCTGTATTGTCCTCACCTCATATTCTCAGTTTTTGGCACGACCCGATGTCCACGACACGCCATCCCGGCCTGCCTTTTCCACTGGGCTCGAAACCTTCTATCTGTCAGACCAAGTGTGCAGAGTTCAACCTGCACGAGCGTCGCACATTAATAGTCGATGTTCTGTATGCTAAGGGGAAAGGTGTATGTCAATTTTTTGTTTTACAACTCCATCTCATATCACGTAGAGGAATGCTTCAGCAACAGAAAAATGGTTCCAAAAAACGCTACTGCATGCAGTTCACGCCCTCCCAATAGTACGGTCACGCAGCAATCCAGTAGCTTGGCTCAAGCCCAGTCATTTTCGCCACTGCATACTACCGTCTCCACCCTACCGCACCTTCCATCGTCCCTAATACAACTCCGAGCACTAATCCTCATGCAACGCTGGACTCGCTTCTGGCTCTTGATTTGTCATACCTCTCACGAGTATACCGACGGTCATCATTAATCTACCAATCCTTCACGGCGATCTATCCTGTCACTGACATCCATGATATTATCTTCAGTACATACAATAAAGGCATAACGCCATTTATTGCATACTTTATAACCCACGCACTATACTTACCATTTTTCACTGATTTTGTCTGTGGTACCGTCGGGAGCTCAGGCGGAGCTTCCTTACCTATGTTAGCAACGATGGAGTGGTGTATCCGCGACTGTGTGCCCGTGTGCCGCGAGCAAGGCAAGAAGTGGTGAGGAGCACTACACTACGACAAAATCCGAAGGACGCCCAGCGGCTCGCTAAACTACGGTGCTACTCGGCTGCTACTCGGCTCCTACCCCCGGGGTCCCTTACTCCAACGACTTGGCATCCAACATCAGTAAGCAAACATCTTTCCTCAGCTTGGAGGTACATACTTAGATCCTTATCAGATTTTCTCGCAATGATGAAATGCAATATCGCGGGGTTCTCTTCGAGATGCCGCTTGAAAATGACTACTTATTCACGCATGGTATTTCGTGTCAGATAGTCAGCCTAAGCGTGTACGATCGTTCATCATGGGCGCTTCATATAATCGAAGTTATGTCAATTGCCCTCCCCTCGATGGATCTCTGTCCCTCCCTGAATTGGTGGAATTCAATGCGCAATATAACTCGGACGTTACTTTCTTTGTCTATGACAAACCTGACAGTAATGATCTGGTCTCTATCTCACACTCAGACTTCCATCGAGCTTGCCATCGGGCCGCCCAGGCAATTAGAAAAAGCGGCGCAGGCGCAGACAAAGAGGTGGTCGCCCTCATCGGGATCTCTGACACCCTTCTTTACCAGACAGTATTTATGGGTATCATCTTCGCTGGGCTAATTGTGTGTACATAGAATCTCTGAATGAGCGGGCTTCTGATCACTGCTATTTCAAGCCATTTGCCATGTCCTTTCGCAATTCGGCAGCGGCAGTCGCGAGCATGATGCAGAAGACAAGATGTCGTCGTTTAATCACCACTCAACACTCTCTTGCTTCTCTGATCGACGGAATCAAAGCGGGTTTTGCGTCTCGTGCTACTCAAATGGGTCAGCTGCAGATCGACGAGATGCCGGCGGTGAAACACCTGTACCCCGCGCTCGTTAGTGGTACTCCAGACGAGGCCATTGTCCCGTACTCTTCCCCAGGTTCGCCGTCGTCTGAGAACGATGTATTGTTCTACTTGCACTCCTCTGGCAGCACTGGTTTCCCCAAACCCATTCCGATAAGTAACCTGACTGCCATCCACTGGTGCATAACGCGTGAGTCAGTAAAGTAATCTGCACATCAAACAATGCTAAGATAGAGTGGCGTTAGCATGTGTTCTTGACCACATCGACGTTGCCGCTCCCATTCGCATCGGTACTGCGTCCTTGCCATCATTCCATACCCTTGGTATATATCTTCAGCTGCTCGTCCCCATCGCCACCCTGAGCAGTGTGTCTATTTACCCGCCTACATCTTTCCTCGATCCCTTGGCGACTCCTGTAGTACCCAACTCGCAAAACATCTTGAAATCTGTACTCAAGACGAAATCGGACGCTTTGGTAGTCGTGCCTGCCTTTCTGGAACAATGGGCGTTTTCGCCGAGTGCTGTTGATATTCTGAAGACGCTCGAATATGTTGTAAGTCTGTTATTGATGCTGTGACAAGGAATCACTCGCGTTGATACCAATGCAGGCTTATGCTGGTGGTCCTCTCGCGCCCAAGATGGGAAATGCCCTGGTGAACGCAGGGGTCAAGCTTTCTTGTGCTTACGGCGCTACAGAATTTGGTATCCCCACTTATTTCATCCGAAATTCAGTCGACCAAAAGCTTTGGGAGTAGGTGCGATTTGGACCAACTTCCAAGATCAGATGGGCCCCACAGGACGACGGCACATATGAATGTCAAGTTTTGGTGCGTCTCCAACTTGATCTTTAAACACCCTCTCAGCGTTGAACGCTTTATCGCAGACAAACCCGACACATCAAGTGTCAGTAGAGAATCTTTCGGATGTCAAGGGTTATGCTACTTCGGATGTATTTGTCAAGCATCCGACGATAGAGGGTTTGTGGAAGATGTGCGACTGAAATTCGTGTTATTTATTTTCTCTAACATTTTCCTTGCAGCGTAGGAAGGATCGATGACGTTTTGGTACTCTCGTCTGGGGAGAAGACAGTACCAGCTCCCATGGAAAGTATCATCTGCGCCAACCCCTACGTAAACGGCACCGTCATCTTCGGCCGTGGTCGTAATCAAGTTGGGATCCTCATAGAGCCACGAGTAGGGTGTGAAATTGACGTTGATGACGAAAAGCACCTTGCTGAGTTTAGGAACCGAGTGTGGTAAGTCCACTACAAGATCATATGCTGCTGTTGAATTTGAAAATGTTCTTGAAGGCCAGAAATAGAGGAAGCGAATAACGAGGCTCCTGCGTTCAGCAGGATATTTAAAGAGATGATTCTTGTGACACACAGTGAGAAGCCCATGCTTCGAGCCGGAAAAGGGACCGTTACCAAGAAAGCAACCGTCAACCTATATGAGGAGGAGATCAATGCCCTGTGAGCATAGTACCCATTCGTCACTCTGTCAACTAGACTTCACGGGCGACAGATATGAGAAAGTGGAGGGCAGCGCTAGGGCAGGTATCGATGTACCTTTGCCTATAAGCTGGACTGCAGAAGACGTCGAGGGATGGCTCACGGTCCACGCTACTGCTGTGAACGCCGACAAGGCAGTCGATCCTGATACAGACCTTTTTGCTCAAGGCTTTGACAGGTGGGTCGAAAAACAGTCAAGGCTAGTAATCTGCTTACTTTGTACATCTAGTCTCTCTGCGACATTCCTTAAAAACCGCATTATCGGCTCTCTCAGCTCATCTTCAGATCGCGACGTTCAGGCATCAGTATTGCGGATTGACCAGAACATCATATTTTCAAGTCCTTCGATTCGCCGGCTCGCGAGAAGCGTCATTAATGCAGTATTGCAGCAGAATGGTACAGGTACCGTCGACGCCAAGGCTGATATCGAGAACATGATCGAGAGGTATTCAGTTGGATTAGGGAACTCTGTCGCCGAGGCCAATACCACTCTAGTTAATGGGTGCAGCCAAAGCGATCATGTGGTTGCCCTGACCGGGTCTACAGGTGGTCTTGGCTCATACCTGCTTGCAGATCTACTCCGGCGCGAGGATGTGTCTGTGGTATATGTCTTCAATCGCCCATCAAAGGGGGCATTCATACAACAACGACAGGAAAATTCGTTCAAAGATCGCGGTTTAGATTTCACCCTGCTTCAGTCAGACAAACTAGTGTATGTAGAGACTGATACATCCAATGATCGCCTAGGTCTAGATAAGGAGTTATATCAGAAGGTTTGTTTCATGTCCAGTGTCACCGAATCAACTAAAGACAGCGTAGATCTGCACGTCTGTCACCGTCATCATTCACAACGCTTGGCGACTCGACTTTAACCTGGCGCTCTCGTCATTCGACCCTCATGTGCGCGGAATGCGGAATCTGATAGACTTGGCACTGTCTTCTCCGCGTCATCCAAAGCCGCGTTTCATGTTCACATCTTCCATCTCATCTGCTCAAGGTTGGGATAAAGCGAAAGGACCATTCCCTGAAGAAATACAATACGACGCAGGCGTCGCAGCAGGTCCCGGCTATGGCGCGAGCAAATATGTTTCGGAAAGGGTAAGTCACAAGCTACTTCGGGGGGCATGGATTCTACGAACACTGTTCCCAACAAGGTTCTCGTCAACAGCAAGTTGCCGGGATCATCATTCAGAATGGGACAAATATCAGGAGGGCCCCCACGAGGAGCTTGGTCCACGACAAACTGGCTACCGATCATCATCGAATCAAGTGTAAGTCTGGGCGCGCTTCCGGAAGCTAAAGGAGTAAGTCTGTCACTATCGAGGGTATTTATTCATGACACGCGCGGTTTAGTTTGTGTCTTGGATCCCTCCCCACGCCATATCAAATGCTATTCTTGATGTAGCTTTCACGAAAGAAGAACCTCCCATCGCGGTGAATTTGGTGCATCCGCGACCGATCGCGTGGAGGACGTTGATGCAGCCCGTCGCAGATGCCTTGGTTGAGCGTAAAGTGACAAGTTACCCACTACCTCTCGTGTCATTCTCGGAGTGGCTCGAGAAACTTGAATCGAGTGCGAAGGACTTGAGCGAAGAGACCATGAAACGCATCGTACGTATATTTCGATAGCTGGCCACAACGTTTTCCCAACTAGTCTTCAATTGCAGCCTGCTATCAAGCTTCTTAACTTCATGCGTTTCATGGCTCGATCAGACATCACGATCAGGGTGTCTGGAGAGATGGGCTCCGAAGCGGGTGGCGTGGCTTCATTCGCCACCACTGTAGCTGAACGTGTCAGTCCAACGATGAAGGAGCTGGAGTCGCTGTCTTCGGCAGACGCGGCACAGTGGGTGGATTATTGGGTAGCAATGGGGATGTTTCAATGAGTGTATGAGTAAGTGGCGATCATCCATCATCCTCTCGTCTTTAACCAACATATATGGACGATCAGAACTTGGGAGATCGTGCTTGTAGTTGGAGCTTTTTCAAGAAATGCTGATGGGATGCAACTTCTGGACTTTCCAGGTTTCGTCTGTTTGCTCAACCAGCTGTTTATATCTAGAACTTGAAGGATGGACAAGACAAGAAGAAGGGGTAAACCAGAGAGATACACGAGATAGACGCACAGCAGTTGACTACAGGTGGCGGGCCCACCAATACATACTAAGCCCTCAGTAACAACAAAAGCAGCTGTACCAAAGATGCTGTGTAGCACGACGAATTATAACCATTATCTCCTCATAGGATCAACGAGCCTCCGAGAAAAAGCATCGCGGCATTGATAATGAGTCACCTCTCCCCTGAAAAATGGGGACATCGGAAAATATCGGCAGAGGCAGATATTAGACTCACCTAGGAGCATGAACTGCGATGACGCTGCTACCCAGACGCTTATGGCATTGGGGACAGCTTTGCACAAGTCATTAGACAACATCCACGCGAAAGAAGATTGCAAATACATTCTACTGTCCGTGACTCTGACACGCCTAGACTCTAGCAGCATCAGTTTCCTAGCAACTTGTTCATTTCGTGCTTTGTGGATATCGCGGATGACGTGACTGTCGAAAATCGGTGCTCGTAAAGCTTCTTGAAGGAATGGGCGCACGTCGCAAGCGGTGACGAGGGGAGGAAGAAGTTGAAGAGTTTCGACAGAGTCTAAGCGAGGACTATGTCGACTGATCAAGTCTAAGGCGGGCTGCAGCAAATTCGGCGCTGCTTTATCAGTCGGACGGAGGTAGAGCCTAAGAAGAGTCAAGAAGACGCTTCTGGTGACTCCGTTTGGATTATATATTCGCTTGCAGTATCTACGACGGGGTCAACGAGAGATCAAGATTGTAGCTGGGAAAAAGAGACATACTCTTCGGCCTTGGCATAATTCTTGAGCTTGTAAACGTAGAGCTCCAGAGCATGTTCGTGCCTTTCCATACGGCCCAGCAACACAGCTCGCGCTTCGTAAAGATCTACAAAATGTAAGCATCAACATCTACGGTGAGTGTTATTCTGTAACTGACTCTCCGACAGTAAACCATACAGGCGATCGGGGCGGTAGTGATCAGTGGTATCAATGAAACGAAGGAGCGTTGAGTAAACCTCCAACTCTTTTACTAGCGGAAACTGGTCAGAAAGTTATCGGCCGGAAAAAATAACAACAAACCTTCGTCTCCTCGTTTGCGAGCACTTAGAGTCATGTTCAGATAGAGCTCTGTCAGCCGATCATGGAATGCAGGACTCTCCTCGCCTTTCTCATCGATCAGATATTCGATGTAACGAGTAGATATGGTAGGGTCAATCTTCTCAAGGTAATCCGTTACTTGGGTTCGAGGGAGTTCAACGTCGTCAGATGTAAATATCTTGGATGAGACAGATAATTGTCAGCAACGAACCGGACAAAAATATATATACAAGGATCACCTCGAAAGCCATGTGACGGTCGGCTTCAAAGATCCAGCGGGAGGACTCAAATACTTGGTTGATGTACTCAGGACCAAGTTTTCGCAGGTAGGATATGGACGGATCAAGCTTGTCTCTCATGTCCGTTTCCTTCTCACTTAACCTGTGCAAGACCATTAGTCCGCAAGTGCAATCAGGTAAAAGACATAGATACTCACTGTTGGAGGAGATTGAGAGCCTTAGCATGCATCTTCTTTCCATTATAAAGATATATAAGCTCTGCAAATTTCTGGTAACGTTAATAAACGCTATGTTTGAGTGCATGCGCACGTTGGACACACCTCTCGTGCCCGGAGCTCCTCCTCAACCTCTGATACTTCACACCAATTGGCCAAACGACAAAGTGCACCGAGGAGGGCCGGCTGAGTCACGAGATAAGACTTGAAGAGCGCTGTGTCTACAATCTGCGCAAACCGCACAAGCTGCTCTGGAGTCAACAGAGGCAAAGGGATGTTCGGCAGTGCAAATAATTCTTCGGTCGACGTCTCAGAGAGGAAAGGCCACTGGTGAGACTGAGCTGGTGCAATGTGTACTGCTGCGAGCGCGCCTGCAACTTTCGGACGACGATCGGTAAGATATCGCCATAGAGCGTCCACCGACCGGCTGAAGTCATCTGGACAATTTATTGACGCGACGAGTCAACGAAGACAAAATATCTGACTGACCTACTTGCTTTACCTTCTTCTTCCCGCTAATGGACACGGTATCATCGTCTTTGTCTTTCGAGGAGGATAAAAGTGCCACAAATGCGGCTCCCCGACGAACAGAAGCCTTGACTGCCATCGCAGGGGACGCTGCCTGCTCCAAAAGTTTCTCTTTGCTTTCATTGCTATCATTTTGGGACTTTGTTGACATGGCATCATCGTTCTTTGGCGTGAGTGACTGCTGGTTTGCAGGACCCCCGAACAATGGTATCCAGTCATCTGGAGGAACAGAAAGACGTCCGGCGATGCGCTCAGGATAGAGAGCAACGACCTTGGCGGGGTTGAGATCGAGCTCGATGAAAGAATTTATTGCATCATCGAACTTTCCTAACCGGAACTGGGACACGGCGTGGAGGGCGCGAATCAGGGTTCGTCGTTGGTCCTTCAGAAGGTAGATGGCGTTATGCCTGTCACTCAATTGTATAATTGAAGACGAACCTTGTCTGATAAAACAGCTTTGTCTAACGTATCAAGCAATGATAGTGCGTCGGAATAGAGACAGCGCTGAACAAGTTCATCAATCTGGTCTCCCCATGACCTCATCTGAATTTGCCATATCGAGCTGCCCTCGGAAGTTGCTACTGTGCGGTCGCTCGGAGTAGCCACAAGGAAGAGAGGTGCTTTGGCGGCAGGAGAAGACGTCAAGAGTCTAATTGTGCAAGTGGCGGCAGAAGACGCTGATGATGTGGGTAGGAAGGGAAGAGTTTGGACAGGTTGCATTGTCAGTGACGATATGACTTGCACAACTGGAGAGGAGATGAGGGATGACTGAGGAGCAGCTGGAGCGCTTCCAGATGGAAGAGAAGCACCTCCGCTCTCCGGTACCGGGACAGTACCAGGAGGAAGTATTGAGAATATATATGGGTTGACAAAGGCTAGACAAGACAATCAGAAAACTGGGAAGAACTGGGCAGATTGAAATGCTGACCAATTTCATCGGGTGGACTTGGCCAATCAATCGTCGCTGGCTTTGTCTGCCTTCCATCAGTGCCGATGATAAACCCCTGGTCTGCCGGAAGCTTCAGCTATCCATTGTATCGAATATAAAACTTGTATCATACTGTCTTTGACAATGAGTGCCTCGGTATCGCTCAGCCGCACCAACCCAGGTTTGGCTCTGGCTCCCAGACCAAGGGACATGTACCCAGTAAGCCCAGAAAATGCGCCCATGGAAGTATTCGCGGGTATAGGTGTGGTAACGTCAAGTGTCGTGAGCTTACTGATGGAGAACAGAGCATACTCGGTAGGTGAGTACGCAAAGCAAACATTATCGCTGTCAAGAAACACCGCAACACGCGGCGAGTGAGGAAGAATAGCTTCCTGCTTGCTGGCTTAGATGGGTCTTACAAGTGCAGCAAATTCGTACCTTGATTTCCTGTGCTTCACTATCCTTCCACGTGTATATCACTACCTTCCTTCGGCACCCGACTATAAGCTGCGTCACCATCGTAGGAATCGGGCCTGCCCTGCCAGTATTAGCTCCACCTTGGGCACTACTTGGGTCAAGGTTGTGCACGGAAGAGTGAACAGCGAATGTCAATGCACCCTTGGCTCTTGTAAGTGGTGTTGGAGGAGCAAAGTTCGGGAGAGGATACAAAGTTAGTATAGTTTCTGAGGATGGACATGCTTAATTCACAATACCGACAATGATACTTATGTTATTGATCGTACCGGAGAGGGAAACCAGAGAATTGACATCCTTGATATAACCCAGCTGGTCAATAGATCTACGAGACAGACCCTTCTTAGTGTCCACCAAAGTTGATACATTCTCTTGGTGTTGAGATGAGTATATCAGCGCTAACAGCATCCAACAGCAGCATACCAGAAAGTTCGTTGTACTCGTAGATGAAGAGACTGCCTGTTGCTGTTCCAACATACAACTTGTCACCTGAAGATACGACAATTGAGTATGCTACGCCTGCAACATATTCGAGAGAACTTGCCCTGTGCAAGTAAAGCCTCTGGTCTTTCTTTTAATCCGCTGAGGACTGTATTCGGTGGGTTGAACGGCGCCATGTGTCGGGATGATCACTGGCAGGTCCTGAACGGAGGGGAGGGGACATCCAATATTGAATATTCGAATCACGCTTATTGCCATAAATATGGCAAGCCAGACAGCCGCGCTCCCTTAGTCAGTGTCACGCGTCCGTAATAGGCAAGAGGACTTCGTGCACCTTCGAGTCATCCGAGTAGCAAATTTGGTTCCGTTTTGAGCAAATTTTGGAACATTGTTCAACGGAACTTCAACCCATACTGTAGATCTGCTTCGAGCCTCCGAATCATTTGATTGATGATTTTCCTATGTCAATGATGACTCGCGCTCACTCGCTGTGGCACGGTCAGAGCGCTAATAATCGCCGGCGCCACTACTACTACTAGTATGTGCGTGACCTCCTGCGTGACTATCTATCTATGTACCGAATATTGTGGTGACTTGCTTTTCATCTTTATATAAGCGTTTGGTGGCTCCGAGACGTAACTCTGCTGCTGAACTTCTCCGTGAGCCTTTTGCTCAGTCGAGCAAACGCGCGCGCGCTATCTCGAATTCCTCGCGTGCCAAACTCTCCGGGACAGACCAGACTGAATTGCAGTTGTCCTGTTGTCTCGCCCCTGTTCCAATTTCCTTGTTTTCTTGAGGGGCTTTCTTGCCTCCCGTCGGCCCGGGTCTTGCTGCGGCAATCGAAAGTATCCGCCCCGCATCAACACAAAACAGGAGCGCACGCAAACTACACATCAGAATGATATGGCTCGGTCTGCCTTTTTCAATTCTCCCACCTTTAGCTTCCGGATCATCCTCGGTCGTTTTGGAAGAACGACCGAAGGAGTGTTCATCCATGAGACTTCAGTGAGGCCGAGGAGGTTACATCATCTGCCTGACCGTCAGACTCACTATGTCCTTAGCTTGCGTGCATTCTTCTGGCCTCCAGCTCCATCAATGTTTCATTTGGTGGTGAATCCTGACAGTTTTGGTTAGTCCATCGAGAATCTAGGTTGGCACTGTACACATCTCAGGGATATACTGAGACGATCCGCACGGGGCGTGAAGGTGAATTCTATTTCATGGACAGACTATCACATAAAAAGGAGGTTTTGGCACAATGACCGGCCCTAGTTAAGATGGATCTCTGAGGATCTATACACTGCAAAAAGGTTGTCAGCAGGTTTCGAACCGACTGCAAGAGAAACAGATTTTGATTCTGTTGCGGTGACCACTTGGTTAAGATCAGTTAAGATGAGCCTCCGAGGAATCCATCCATGTGTGAATGTCAAAGTGTGTTCCAATGGAAAAAAACCTTGTCGTCGGCAGGTTTCGAGCTTGCGCAAGTCCGACACAAACATATTTCGATTATGTTGTAGTGACCACTTTGGCCAGGCGAAGTTAGAATGAACCTCCGAGGAAATGTCCATCACTGAATCGTCAAGGCGTGTTCTGAGAGAAAAAAATCTCGTCAGCAGGTCTTGAACCTGCACTGGTACAATCCAAGAAACAGATTTCGATTCCGTTGCAGTAACCACTTGGGCCAGGGCGAAGTTGAGATGAACCTCTGAGGAACTGTTCATCAGTGAATCTTCAAGGCGTGTTCGGATGGAAAAAACTGGTTGGCAGGTTTTGAACTTGCACTGGTAGTGTGAGTCCAAGAGACAGATTTCGATTCCGTTGCAGTAACTACTTTGGCCAGGGCGAAGTTGAGATGAGCCTCTAAGGAACTGTTCATCAGTGAATCTTCAAGGCGTGTTCGGATGGAAAAAAAAAACTCATTGGCAGGTTTTGAACCTGCACTGGTACAGTCCAAGAGACAGATTTTGATTATGTTGCAGTAACCACTTCAGTCAGGGTGAAGTTGCTCCGAGGACTCGGTCGTGTTCCGATAGAAAAACAACCCTGTTGTTTGGCAGGTTTCGAACCTGCGTAGTGCAAGAGAAACGAATTTTTATTCCGTTGTGGTAACCACTTTGGCGAGGACGAAGTTGAGATGAGCCTCCGAGGAACTGTCCATGTGTGAATCTTCAAGGCGTGTTCCGATAGAAAAAAACCCCTGTTCAAGTTGTTAGGCAGGTTTCGAACCTGTGAAGTACAAGAGAAGCAGATTTTGGATCTGTTGTGTTATCCACTTGGGCCAGGACGCTTGCTGGCCAAGTTTAGACGAACCTCCGAAGAACTGTCCAGTGTCGACAGGTTTCGAATCCGCACCACAAGAGAGCAGATTTCTAATCTGTTCTGGTGCCAGACGGTTAGCTATGACTACTCAAGATGGGCCTTGAGAAATCCATCCATGAGTGAATGTTCAAGGCGTGGTAAAAGGAAAAGATTGTTTGTCTAGCAAGACTGGTTAAGATAGACTCATTCGGTTACGAGTCGAAAAACATCATGCATTGAGTGACAGTCACAGTAGAATCACATGGGATTAGCAATCATTTACCAAAAATGAAATAAAAAGACTAGTTTGCGTTTAATTGGATGAACACAAAACATGCCAGGAATAAGCGAGTCAGGGGCTGGCGTTGGCGCCGTCACAATATGACACTAGTACTGCGGAAGTGAGAAACTGATCAGACCTGGAAAGGGTACGAAAAGACGATGTAAACAGTATCTAAACAGATGTAGCAAATGACACGGATTCCGAGGTGTTAGAACCTGGAGAGATCCTCAATTCAGACTGTTATCCAACACTGGAAAACTCGACGTTGCAGAGGTGCACAGAAACAGTAGAACCTAAACCATATGTCTGATTTGCGTCTGAATACAATCATATTTGACTCGGATTAGCATCTGGTTACAAATGTGCGGATCCCTATGATTCTGGGGATTTGCTGGCTTCTGGTTGCTTCGCATTGGCTTTTCCCCATTCCCCTCATCCCCTCGATCATCTAATGATGTATGGGGCACAACGCCGCCCTAGTGGTGCTCCTCCCAGTACCTTCCCAAATCAAGACAATCAGCCAATGAATGACTCAAACTCAAATCCATACCGGTTTGGTTCCCCACATCAGTAAATCACAAATTTCTCCACAGAATGTACACAAATCATGTTCCCACGACAGTGAGCCACAGAGTCCACAGTTCCGCCAAAGTCACAGCCAACAGTGGCTGCAAAGTATACATTGTCTCCAGTTACTCACAGTTCTACAGTATAATTCAAGAATTTATCAACTAATATAGGTAGTAGTTACATAGTACTTTTCTCTAGGTCTATACAACTCAGTTTCGTACGATATGACTTGGCTTCAAATTGAATGATCAAACTTAAACAGCCGCAGTGAAGATAGTTTAAGATCTGAGTGAGACGCATATGTTCATTCACGCCTGAGAGGACATACAACAAATAACACTGCATAGCGAAATATTCATGCAACAACAGCATATACATAAGTTGAGTATCATAATAATGTGAAGAGGGAGCGCTCGGATCAATCAAGCTGGACGGTGAGGTGACGACCACGTTCAGTATCTTCTACTGGGATAATCAACCTCCTGCATCAAGTTTCGTATCGTTAGCTTACCAGTTTGTAGGCGGCCATCGCGTGTTTGAGTCGGATGAGGAAAATGACTCCATCCATTCTTCTTAAATGCGATTCGCATGCACCCTAATCCAACATCCGCGTCCTCCAGTCGTTTTTCTGCTTCTTCAGCTCGATATCGGAGTAAGTTTGCCAACACTTCGTTCTCACGTATTATACAGTCCGCCAGTGTCTTTTGCGCTAGATAAACTTGCCGCTTAGCTCTTACAAGGTCCAACACCAGGTTGGCCTCAGAGTCGGTTGGATCCTGTATGGACTGTTAAAATGTAAGGTACATCGAAAAAGTGAATTTCAAGATCGACATCACCAAGGAATTGACAGAATGAAGAACATTGTATATGTCATATGCACCCGATGGTCCTTCGCGATGATGTAAACGGGAGATCTGCTCGTCCATCCCTGATGCGCGTGCTGATAGAGATCGCAGTTTGGTTATGTTCATGGTAGTATTGTTTAAGTCAGTATCGGAAAATGCCGAAATATCGATCAGAAGGTTAATGATGACTGTCGTATGTCTCACCCTTACCCTTATGCCTCAATGTCCATCGTGCGGAAAAATTCTGAAGGACCACACATCTGTCGCTCGCCATATGAGCCAGCCCCGGTCTGGCTGCAACACGTGGCTAGAAGATATCATCAAGCTTAATTCCCTCATTCCACCCTTGGACCCAGTGAATATCGAGCACGACATTTCTCATGAACCAGAACTCGGAGGCGAGGCGATGGTAGTTGACTTTGGTGATGATGGCGGTGAATTCGGTGATGAAGAGAATATCATGGGAGGTGGAATTATGGATGATGTCATATCCCGTATTCTGGACCTACGTCCGATGATGTTCCCACGCCTTCCGGACGCCTTCCGGATGCACATCCGGACCTCCATACCCTTATCCATGACTCCATACCCTTATCCATGCCTGCAGTCCTCCAGTCCACTATCGGTTCGGATCCGTACACCTTCGTACATCCATATATCCATACCTTCGGACCTCCGCAGCTAAGCCTGCTTCATCCACCCTTGATCCCATCGGATCCGAGCTCATCCTACCTGAGACTTTACCTTCCCTAGACTACCGGATGATATCCATGATCTATATCCTAGTCTCGTCTTCACCTAGATCTCCGGATCCGCTCATCCGATATCCAGACGCCTCATCCGATATCTCTAGACCTCCGGATCCGACCTATACTCATATCCGAAGCTCAAACCTTAAATCAGCGTCTATCTCCTTATGGTAATCCTCTTGACTCCGGACTTCGGTTATCTGTGTTTCCGTCTTGCTTATTGATCCTTGTACTTTGTTCATCTCCGAGTTCATTTGTTTATGTTCCGTTCATACTTACCAATATGTTTCCACATGCTCGTACATAGCATTTGTCTTCAGCTTACTGATCCTCTCGGATCCCGTCCAGTATATAAACCTCTGTACAACTCCTGTAAAGTTTCCTCAGTTCGAATATCATCTTAGATTCTGCTCAACATAGACTTGCTCTCTCGCATCCTAGACTTCACTCATTCTGATCTCGGACTTCGGTCCATCTTAGTATTGCCTTTCCTTAGGCCTAGGGAAGGATTCCCTAGGCCAACCTTCCGGTCCTCCGGATTTATCCTTCCGTCTATATCCATGCTTAGGGATTGACTCCCTAAGCCGAAGCTTTGCCTTTCCGGCATTTCCTGTCTTTCCGAGACTTCTGTCTAAACCCCGTCTATCCGACTCTACCATAGTGTAGTCTACCTCCATCTGTTTCTACTCCGGACCTTGTCCGTTGTAGCCCTTCTTCTCTTGTCCTAGAATCCTGTCCGCTCCTCTGGTCCTCCGGACGTCGTAACCTTCGGACGTCGTAACCTTCGGACGTCGCAACCTTCGGACGTCGTAACCTTCGGATGACGCAACCTTCGGACCTCTGGACGTCCTGTCCTTCGGACCACTCCTCCTACCCTATCCTGCTTTGGACTCTGTCCCTTGCAGCCTATCTTCTATGTGTTTCCATCTAGGGAGCTTACCTTCGGATCTAATGCAGCGGGTGAAACTCTTCCAGAGTTTCCTATACTCATCCGAAAGTTTCCCGCGCTCATCCGGAAGTCCTCCAGCACTCAACCAGAGTAGCCAGCCTCCGGAAGTCCTTCGGACTTCGTCGGATTCCATCTGGACTTCATTCTGAAAT